ATGGTCGAAATGTTGTCCAATTCCCTTTATTGCTATAGTGTCTACCGGCTGTAATTTTAACTGGTAGCTGATCTCTTCACTGATGCAGCATATTTCTGATCCACTATCAATTAACGCCTTTTGATCAATCTCGTCGTTAATATTTACTTCGATGTACTTGCGATCATAAAATTTGTTTGCTTCAATGACAACTTCCTTTGTTCTTATTGGTGATTCGATTTCAACTGGTCTCTGCGTTTTTTTGTCCGTCTCACAGCGCATGACGTTTTTAGTGGCCGTAGGTGTAATTCTATTTTTCCATGTACAGTGCTTTGCAATATGACCAATCTTCCCGCAAGAAAAACAGGTTTGTTTGGGTGAAGCTGATTTGTTGTTGCTACTTCTATACATCTGGTGCTCATTTTCTCGAAATGATTGTATCTGATTGATACTCTCCGGCATACATGTATTGTCGCTCGAAACTTTCATGTTCATGGCAGTTTCATATTTGTCGATCGTTTGTGCCAACACGTCAGGACTCATCCAGGAAGCTGCTTGCTTTTGTGACAAAATAAATTCCAGAGTATGTCTTGATAGCAACTCTTTCATTCTATCTGCACATATCAATTTCATTGCATCTTCTAATCCCGTAATGTTACGGCTTTGAAAATAGTGGTTCAGCGTGCCGTATAATTTCGCCCCGAAACTCGTGTACGATTCGCTTTTCTGCCTTCTCAGGGCAAAGAATTCATCTCTCAATTTTGTCGGGTTCAACCTGAACTCCTGCAGAATGAGTCTTTTAATTTCGCTATAATCCTTCAGACCGTCGGCGGAAATAGTATGTAACCACGTTTTGGCCTTTTCGTTCAAACTCATTATCAACAAATTGGCTTTAATTTCTCCGTCTACGTGATAGTTTCGAAAAATTTTCTCTACGTGTTCAAAGAATGCAGGAATATCTCTTGGCTCTAACGGACACGTTCCTATCAGATGTTTTAACGACTCCGCGAAAAATCGAGTCTGTTGCATTAGTTTTATCGTGTTATTATCCTCACTAGCATCATTGGCCACTCTTCGATTATTCATACCTTCTACCTCTAGTCGTCGAATTTCTAATTCTTGACTCTTAAGCCTGAATTCGGCTTCATCTTTTTCACGCTGTCTGGCCATCTCTGCTTCATCTCTTTCACGCTGTCT